ATAGCAAGTATCAATTTGATGCTTGGATAATGTAAAGATAAAAATAAAAGTTTTAAACTAATTTTAATTTTTTACAGAAAGACAACTGTAAAAACAAGTGAAGTAAAAAAAAATCCATATGTCAGTCAGCAAAGTCACATTGAGTTTATATTTAGCTAGTAAATATCAGTCCAGATATGATTAACTTAAGAAAAGGAGGAAAGAATGTTAAATTATTTCTGAGCCCCTTTTAAAAAGGATTAATGCAACCTTTTTGTGAAACATAAATATCTATTTTTGAAATGTTTGTTTTGGCTGCAGCTGGTGTAGTAGGAGCTTGCGTGAAATATGCTGATAAAAGCCAGAATATTGGTGTAATTCAGATAAGTCCTCAGGCTGCCACTGATGGATCCCTTACTATTGTGTATTTGAATGGAGACAAATGCAAAGATAAACAACAGTACTCAACACGGATAATTTTCCAGTGTGATCAAGCTATGGTAAGTTCATCTATAGCAGTGTTGTTCAAACCTGGCAACTTGAAGATGAGTGGAATCCCAGAATCCCCAGCCAGCATGCTGAGTTGAAGTCCATACATTTTAAAGTTGCCAAGTTTGAAAAATGCTATGTATAGTGAAGTCTAATATTGAAATATCTGGATGCCTTAACATGACTGCTCTTTGCAACCTTGCAGGCTGATACTGGGTTTGTCATCCATGCCCTTCTCAAACTTGTCTACACTGTTGCAGCTCCCTTTATCCCAGTGTGTGTCATGAAGCTCAGGATTTCTGTTCCTTTAAAAGATGCATCAAATAATTGTACATAGGCTCAGCGTTCAAGCCTTTTTGCCTCTTCTAGCCTCAAAGGCTTTGGCTAGAAGAAACTGAGTGTACAGCTGCACACTGTCTCTTCCCCAGATGGTTCCTTGGGACAATTTCAGAGCTGTCTTAGTGCAGTCTTTAACACACTTCCCCCACCCTCAGCTACATCTGAAGAGAATCTGAGATTCCAGAAGTAATGACAGTATTGTACCTGTGTCACATAATTGTAAGTAGTTGACTTGGGCAGAATAGCTTCACAAATTTTCTTCTGCTTCAAAAGGGCTAGAAATATATTTAGAGAAAATATTCAAAGGATGCATCCTGTTTGAAATCACAGTGGCTTAAGGGGTACTAAATTTAAAAAGAAATGAAATGCTGTGTTTTCCTCATTATTTAAAAATGGCTATTTCATATTTGTACATACCACTCAATTGAGCATTTGTTTCCATTTTTCATTCCACACAGATGTTTCTCTCACACATCTTTCTTGACAAGTTCCAGACTTTGCATTTTTTTTCTAGGTCAATGGCAGGCAATCTTTTTGTGCCTGGGATATACTTAAATCAATAACTCCTCCTTTTTTCCCCACTTCAGAGAGCTGCAGGAAATGTGGCAATATGGTTTGATGGGAGATTTATTTATTTAGGCTTAGAAGGCTTTAAATTAAGTTTAATGCACTTGCCTGAAAGTTTTCAGGCTCTTACTTTGTTTCTTTTGTTTGTTGTTTTCCACAAAGATTAACAAACAATTGCACCAAATTTAATGGTGTGATTTGCAGAGGCAGTGTGGGCTATGAGTTGTAACTCAAATTATTTGCTCAAGTGATTAGTTTATTCTGCATTTGGATGAAGCTGGAGGTAAGCTAAGTGAGGCAGAGGGAAGAAAGAAGAAAGACAGTATAGGAAAGATTGCCAGAGGCAATATAGAAAGGAACAAGCTTTCCTAATGCACTTCTGCAATAGCTTTAGCTTTGCCTCAGTAAGGACTATGGCATACTAGTTAGTAATTAATCTTACATTAACATGTATCAAATTATCTAAACAATTGGAAAAGCTTGACTATCAGATTTGTACCATTGTTTAAGGTGTAGATATGTGCATATACACTTTAAACTTTGTCTCTAAACATACCAGTGTGTTATGGGAACAAAGGCTGCTTCCATAGGTTACAACTTGATTCATAAAAAACAGCAAGTATGTGATGAAATGCCTGCAAGTTGAGAATCATGCCCCCTCCCCCACAATCATTGCTGTGATTCTGCTACAATAAAATGGAAATACAGCTCAACACTTTGTCCCGCAATATGAATCAGGTCTGTTGTGTAGCAGTACTGATTAGTTCTCCTGTTGAATTGTAAAAGGATAGGTCAAAAATGAATTTCTCAGGTTCCCAGATTTTTTTTTTCTTTTGATAAATGGAATTTGAATGGAATAGTCGCCCAGTGAATCAGAGGATGGTGATTCAGTAGCCTATTAGGGGATCAGAAGTTCACGCATGCATAAAACCTGTTAAACTTTTTATCTTTATGTTTAGGGATCACCAGTGTTTCAATATGAAAAGGACTGTGAGTTTGTGTTTCTCTGGAGAACACTAGCAGCTTGCCCTGTGCGCAGAGCAGAAGGCAAGTACAAACACTTAAAGAATTTTGTTCTTCAACGTGTATATCCAAAGCTCATGTATAAGTTTACTATGCAAGAAGAAAGGCAGGTCTTATCTTGAGCTTAAATGCCACATCTATATTCAGTTCTTCTCTAACTTGTATACATGGCAGAAGTCTTATTTTCCAAAATACTTCATGTAGGGAGGAATATGATTATAGATACCCCCCATCCCCCAAAATTGTTATCAAGTTACAGCTGCTAATATTAACTATTTTTAATTTAATGTAAATGTAAATTACAAAAGTTGTTTTTGACCAGTTCTACCTCTTACTTTTTGGAATTGGAGCCTTCAGCATATGTTATAGGCCAGAGATGGCTTTTGGCCCAGAAGAGGTTGTGGGTCTCTCATCTAAGTACTTTCTATGTAGAAAATTCCAAGTTCAAAGCAATTCTTCAGTTGCAGAATTGATAGCAGCATTATTCTCTCCATGCTTTATGCAACTATTTATATACTTTCCATGACCTGATGAAGACCATATGAAATTGTTATAAAATGCTATTGCAAAGATACATGTAGTCATTTAGTGCATCCAAATTTCTGCTTAGTAGTGTCATGTTGGAGCTGAATGAAGTAATATTTTTTATACATCAAAGAGAACATATATGTAAAGATGTTCAGTGCCTTTTGACTTCTGTTATACCCTTCATTAAGACACTAAAATTTAAGAACAGAATTTCTATACTGGAGTTCATTAAAAATATGCAGTTCAGCATGTTTTCCATTTTTTAAAAAAAAGTTGTCAGAAATTTCTGTCCTGGCCACAAGCAGTATCTAGACTGATTTTACATAAATATAAAATATAAAGTACAGATAAAGTTCAGGTAGAGACAGTTTCTAGATTTTACAAGGACTGGTCTGGGCAAACCTGAATTTAATTAAAGGGCATGCCTCACTTTTTGTATGTATGTGTGATGCATGTGATACGCTCAGAAAACAGGTGATGCAAGGGCTCCTGGAACAACCTTGTGTAACCAAGCAGTTGTCTGTACTGTTAGAGATGTAACACTTCCATAAATTTTTAATTATATAAAATATAGAGGGAAAAGGGGGAATTTGTGAAGAAAAGTGAAATCGTAAAATACTTAATTTTTAATTCTCTTTAGAAATGTAAAGTCATTTGTTACATAATATATATACTTCAGTTTGTTTTTTAGTGATATGCTTTGCCGTACAGTTTCAGAGTGAGAAGATGAAAAAGAAAACAAGGGTAGTCACTAAAGGGAGATAATGGAAAGGCAGTTGCTGGGAAGATCGGTGGACAGGCTGGTGCACAGGCCTGTAGATGTGAAGTGGAGAGAGTGGGGTGGGATGGAGCAGCCTTGAACTACTTGCCTCATAAGACCTGTTCAGTTTTGTTGTGGTCAAAACCTGAAACAATCAAGCTGTTCCAAATTTTAGTTGAGTCAACCTGCAACACACCCAGAATGGTTCAGCTGAACTGCCCAGAGTTGCTTGGATTCAGGTAGATTATAAATTTCATAAATAATAATAATAATAATAATATTATTTCCAAGGCACAGTAGGTTTCTTTGGGGCTTGAAACAAAGCAGATTTTGGTTTTGAGCATACATATTTGTGTTTGGTAACCTATTACTGTGAAAGTAGTTTTCTTGATAGCCAATTTGCTTTGCAAAAATTTGTACATTGGAATTTTTGTTTAAAGAAATAACTTACTGAATGACTGTTAACTCAAGTGATAGTCTGAAATGGATAACTGTTTGTCATTCTGTAGCATTAGATCATAATTTTTTTCCTTTGTGGCTTTGGGTTTATTTAAGGTGAGAACTGTCAGGTGAAAGATCCAAGGTATAGTTATGTATATAACCTGTCATCACTTCGTGGGAAGGATATTAAAGTAAGCACTGAAGAATATGACTATTACTTTAGAATTTGTGATGGATTAACAGCAGGGGTATGCAAACAATCAAGCAAAAGTGAAGATGTTGTGTCATCATGTCAAATTAAAAAACAAGAGCCAAATGCTAAAAAAATAGCAGGTAAGGTCATTCTGGGATTTGTTGCCTTGATTTGCTTTCCAAGCAAATGCCTTCATGGACCTTTTCTTGAATCCTCATATTTGATATTACTCCAGCTAACTTGAGGTTTAGTTGTAGTGGCTATGTAGTTCTGTTTCCATAGCCAGCAGTCATCTGGCTGTACTAACTTTTGCATGTGATTACAATTGGAGGCCAACTTCTTTAGCACTGATTATTAATGTCCTCTCCCTCCTCTATACCTTCACCAGAATTTTAAGCTCATCTGAAACACTCTGGAATTGTTGGTTTCTGTACACTTTTATAAACATGCAGGTTTGTACCTATTCAAATGCATATACATGTAAGTTTATATATCTTGTGTATATGCTTTTATTTGCTGATTTTTATCTTTACATCTTATACCAGTGGTTTCCATTCTCTTTTGGAAGAGAAAAGAGTGTGGCAAGTAAAGATAATAAGAACACATGCAGGATGCCTGGACAGTCTGCCTGCAACCAGACAGGCTATGTGGGCCCTCCTATTGTACTGTAATTCCCAAAAGCGACAGTGCTAATGCCCAGTCATCATGGATCATGCAAGTTTGGGTCCAAGAGCAAAGGCTATCTACCTCCAGGCTGCAGAGTAGTGGGAGGCTGATCGAGGGAGCTTTGGGAAAAGATGAAAGAAGGAGGACTTAGAGTTTGCTTTATGTTTGAGTATCCTCTATGTATGTAATGTATGGGTGTGTTTTTGGCCCATCTTGAATGAATGATATTCAGGCAGTAGTTCATGCAACTATTCAACTTAATGAAAAGACTAGCATTGGAAATTTTTATAGGGCGTTGTATGCTGGTGATTAAAACTGGATTATTAAACTTCCATTCTCTTCTACCAGAAACATACTATGTTAGTCTGTTGGTGCAAACTCTGAGAATCTTATTCTGGCAAAGGATAGCTCATTCTCTCTATACATGTAGAAACTTCAGTGACTTTTATATCTTCAGTATCTTCGTTTGTAATATTTTGTAATACACATTTTTGTTACTAGGTTTGCACACTGCAAAACTGACATATGAAAATGGATTACTTAAGATAAACTACACTGATGGGGACATATGTCACAAGATATATAGGCGATCAACAGCCATATTTTTCTACTGTGATCCTAATCCAAATTTGCAGGTAAGGAAACTTGGGGATTTTAGTCTGTTCTGAAATAATTAAATATGGGTTTTGACAGTTGTCTGGCTTGAGAGAGGGGAGAAGCTCTATATAGATTAACCATACAAAAATAAATGCAGTAAGAGATTAGAATTGCATAATCCTGATAGTTGCCTGTTAGGTAACATTCTTATTAAGGACAAAGGTGTATACTTGAGTCCTCAAATGCAAATGAAGCTGCTAAAGTTTAAGGGCAACCCCTTTATTTTTTTTTGTGTTGTGTGCCAGAAGGGAAAAGTATTAAATATATGTAGTTACACTAATTAATTCCATTTTAATGTAGTTTTTGTCCAGGCCCCATCCACTGCTTTGTCCTGTGCAGCACTTGGTTTTTTAAAAAAAAACTGGTTTAAGGGTTAGGGTTCCTGCCATGACACTATCATTTCCTTTCCACTAATTTAGTGCTGCAGTGGCTGTTACTTATTTATACCTATTCCAGTGCTTTTATTGAAGTAAGCCTAATATGTGGCATGTTCATCAAGAAATGGGGAAAGATAAAAAAAAATGTTGAAACCTGCAGTAGTTTAAAGGAAGGGGCTCTGTCAAAGGTTTGGTTTCTTTGATAATAGACTGCTAGGACTTTCTGTGCCTGCATTGGGAAAAGTCCAACCCACTTCTGGCCCTGCCTCCTTTCTTCCTACCCAGTGGACTTCAGTCTTGGGATTAATCCCTTGTGCAAAAGAGCCTGAGGATGGATTTCCAAATGTCCATCTCTGGTTTAAAATTCCTCTATTACATGCTTTCAGCTCTGTTGTCGATATGGTCTAGTATATGTAACAGTGTTTTTTTTAATCTCTGTTCCCATAGCCAGTATTTCTGAAGGAAACCGAGGATTGCACCTATATGTTTGAATGGCACACTCCTTTTGCCTGCCCACCTTCCAAATCTATCGAATGCTCCTATAAGTAAGTTGCCTTTCCCCAGAGTGATTTTAGGGCTTCTTATTATATTGGTCCACTGCTGCTTAATCCATACTAACTATGATTTGCTATGACTTTCTGAGAACACATGTTTTCCTCTTCATCCCTAATAACAAGAACCTTATACAAGTGTTTGCTTTTAGCCTGACTTGTAAATGAGCAGCATTTGAGTGCTGTCTAGGTAGAAATGTGTGGTCTGAATCAAAAGAGGAAATAATTAAAGCCGTAATAATGAAAAATGGAGATGAATGCTGGCATGCATGTAAGCCTTTTCTTGCAATGTTCCTGTGTGGCCTGTCAAGGCTGCAGACTAAGATTTAAGATAATAAGATTTCAGATTTTCCTCTACACGCAGCTATGTTTGCAAAGAAACTGGGGACAAAACTTGTGCTTATGGTCATAGCTTATTTTAGCCCTAGTGTGCCAGTGTGTAGTTTGAATGGTGGAGGACAGTGGATGTCAGTAGTCACACTAGAATTGCTTTATGCAGTAAGAGAGCAATTATCAAAAGAATTGTGACAATTTACTACTAGACAAAATTTATGCATTTAAATATAATTGGTTTTGAACATTTGACTTGGATTTTTAAAATAGCAGTTGCCTGTATCTTGCATGCATTTACTATCTTCAGTTATCATTAATTTTTTTTTTCTGTTGTAGAGACAGTGCTGGCAATTCCTATGATTTCTCTTCTCTGATCCGACAAAAGAAAAACTGGGAGGCTATTTCAAAGACTAGCTCTTCACAGAAATACTACATCAATGTCTGCAGATCATTAGTACCCCATCAGGGAGCTGGTAAGAATTGGGGGAAGTGTATGCTATTTACTCAGAAGCTTTGTGGAAAGGATTGGAGGAAATTTTGAATCTGCCACCAGATTCTGAACAAAAGAATCCAATTTCTGTGTGACCAAGTAATTTTGCTCAGGTTAAATCTAACCTTTTAAGCCTAATTTGCCATCTACCTGTTGGCAATCAAGAAATGTTCCTATCTGTTTAAATGAATACAATTTCATTATCAGTTATACAAATCTGGAAAACAACACAATGGCCAACAGATTGGAAGAGGTCAATCTACATTCCATTACCCAAAAAAGGAGATTTGACGAAGTATGCAAATGATCATACAATATCCTTAATTTCACATGCTAGCAAAATAATGCTTAGGAGCATCCAATGCTGATTAGAGCCCTACATGGAAAGAGAGATGCCAGATGTTCAAGCTGACTTTAGAAAAGGCTGAGGAATACAAGACATTGCTGATGCATGCTGGATAATTGCCAAAGGTCACTATGTGCTTCATTGATTACGTCAAGATTGGAGGATTACGTCAAGCTGTGGAATGCACTCAGAAAAATGGGAATTCCAGAAAATCTCATTGTCCTCATGAGAAACTTATATACAAATCAGGAAGCCACAGTATGGATAGAATATGGTGATATGGACTGACTCCAGGTCGGCAAAAGAGTGCAACAAGACTACATACTCTCCCCTTATTTACTCAACCTATATGCTGAGTATATATTAAGGGAAGCTAGATTGGAAGAAGATGAACTTGGTTTTAAAATTAAACATCAATAGCCTGCGCTATGCTGATGACATTACCCTGACAGCTGAAAATGCAAAGGATCTGCAAGCTCTAATAATAAAAGTTAAGGAGCAAAGTGAAAAAATTGGATTAAATTAAATATAAAGAAGACAAACTAATGATAATAGTTAGAACAACCAGCCTTAGAATTGGCAGTGAAGATACTGAAGTGGTGGATAGCTTCTGCCTTTTAGGATCAACCATCAACAGTAAAGGAACAAGCAGTCAAGAAATATGATGCAGACTAGCACTTGTTAGAGCAGCCATGAAGGCCTTGGGAAAGATATACCTTTGTTTGTTTGCTTGTTTAAATTTAAATTTATTGGCCATCCAACTCCACTCCATTCGAATGCTGTATTGTGTTTGTACCTACAAAGATCAGAATTGTGCGAGCCCTGGTATTCCCTATGACACTCTATGAAAGTAAAAGTTGATCTTTGAAGAAGCAGGGTAGGAAGAGTATTGACACTTTTGAACTTTGGTGTTGGAGAAGGCCAAGAATACCAGGGACAGCCAAGAAAACACACAAATGGATCAACCCAGAGTTTTCACCCGAGGCACAAATGACCAGGCTCAAATTATCCTACTTCAGACATGTTATGTGAAGACCTAGCTCCCTGGAGAAGGCTCTAATGCTGGGAAAGATGGAAGGAAAGAGAAGAAGAGGACAACCAGCAACAAGGTGGATAGATTCAGTTAAAGTGGTGATGAGTGCACTGTTGGAAGACCTGAAAGATCAGGTTATGGATATATTGTCATGGAGAAAATCTATCATTGTGGTTGCTAGGAGTCAAACATGACTTGAGAGCACATAATCCGTCAATTGACCAATCAATCCAGTCTGGTTAGAAGTTTCTACTAGGAGAAAAAATGAAATGAAATAATCAAAAAATATTCTCAGCAGAGCTACAATTCCTAATAGTTCCTTATCTCAGTAAACTGATGGGTGTACTTGGAAGATTTTTACAATTATTTTAACATATGTAATAAAGTACAGATTCACAATTATAACTAATAAATAACAATGAGAGGTCTTGTTTTTGGTGAAGGAGAGCAGAGCAGCAAGAAACGTAATTAAGTAATAGTAAGACAAATAACTAAAAAACTAAATAGGGTCAAACCTGGTTATTGTGTGGAAGGGAAACTGCCCTGGAAATCACAGGGCTTGAAAAACAACTGAGAAGACCACAGTGGCCAACCACTTCTGTATTATTGTCGAGGAACCTAGGTGGAAATGTCCATGAAATTTCCAAGAGTTGAACTCTATTTGAAGGAAACTGAAGTCATAACTACTAAGGGAGGCAATTAATTAAAGTTGTATGACTTGGGGAGAAACTGGAAAGCATGGAGCAGTGGTTCTTTGGCATACTCCTCATTAGTGCATACTGGTGCATCAACATGAAGCAGATCAATTGCTGTTTTTAGAAATTTTAGAACCTATTTCTGTTCTCAGAGTGTCAAAACATGCTGTGTCTCATTCTGAAACTAAATCAAAAATGAAATGTTAAGTATCCTTCATTAGCCTTTTCCAACATGCTATTTGTGAACACTAGCCTTCTAGGCGTTAAATATCTCATAGGTGTTTTAAAACTTGCCCTTGATTCCTGTCCCTATATAAACTATTTCTCGTAGCTTTTTTTTCTCAGTCTTTAATTTTACAATCATGGAGCTATATTGCATGTGTAATTGAAGGATAATTTGAAGTTCTTTTATTAATTGTATACATGAATGTATTTGTCTAATTGCCTAATAAAAATGCTTCAAATTTCCTCCAAGAGGCTTAATGTGAGTTATTTCTAGAAGCTGGTTTTACTGCTGGATTTTAATAGTTAGCAGAATGGTGGCTGGTGTGGGTCTTCCGGGCTGTGTGGCCGTGTTCTTGAAGTTTTGTTTCCTT